AGCAGAAGCCAGTGGGGTCTCCCCAAGCTTAGCTCTATGAAAACAAATTCTAACAAGTAGAGCATAAACTAGATGTCAGTCCTAGTCCATAACATCAACATTATAAGCTGATGAAGTGATTCCATTTTATGGGTCAGTAGACCCCTTTCTGAAGGAGTATAAAAGATGACAGTCATGCGTCAAAAAGACAATCAAATTGATTTTCAAATTAGGACTCATTCCACTGTTAACATATATAGCTTAAAAAGCATTTTTATTTATTTATTTATTTATTTTAAGAGACAGGGCCTTACTGTGTTGCCCAGGTTGGTCTGAAACTCCTGGCCTCAAGTGATGCTCCCACCTCAGCTTCCCAAAGTGCTAGGATTTTAGGCATGAGCCACTGAACCCTGCTGATTTACCATTCTTTAATTTTGGTCTATACAGAAGGTTTGTCGATATGAAGAGATTTTATTGCTTACTCTCTAGAGTGGTGACAACTCCCTGAGCTGGTCTGCTTGTCAAAGTGTCCTTAAGAGCATAGACACTCACTTCATATTTGGTGGCCACCTAGAGAAATAAGGGCATGGTGAGCGTTAGCAGTGTCATGAACTGAAACCCAGGGAGTTTCACTACAGCATTAGGTAAATACAATGATTAGAAAATAAAAAATAAACAAACTAGCAAAACTCACAACCTTGTAAATTCCTTGATTTCATTCCTACAGTGCAGGTGATCAACGTATTTAATTTATCAATTTTAAAATGCTCTTAGCGGTTAAGCTTAAGTAAGCCATAGATTACATACTTAAACTAAGCTGGTAAAAAAATGAGGAAAGTGGGTATTAGCATATTTTTCTTTTTTATGATCTGACAGGTGCAAATCATAATTTTTTCCTTATCATAGAGAGGCAAAAAGAATGTTCCATTTTGTCTCTGAACAATCTTTCTGTAGTTTCCCCTGAAATTGACCTTACGTTAAGAGCTACATCAACCCCCTAGGTTCCTAGCAGTTTTCTGCATGTATGTCTGGAAGGTTTTTAAAATGTTTTAATGAGGGTAGGGTCAAGGTAAACTGGTACAAACTGTAAAATATTCTTTACCAAGATAACAGAGCTCAGAAAATGCATAACTAAGTCGATTTATGCATTCAAGCAACGGATATGTAAATTGTCCCCCACAACCTTTTAAAATAAGCACAATACATCTAAAAGAGCTGAACAAAATCCAAAGCTGTTTATAAAATTCTGTCCCAATGGTTACCTGGAAAACTTAGGTCAACATAAAGGAATTCTGTTGATATGAAGTTACAATAAGAGTATTTGATGCACAGGAAAAGAATAGTTAGATTTATTATTACATTATATTTTCACCACCTTAGAAACTGTATTAGACATGGTCTCCATCTTTATTCCAATGAACAAAGGTCACGTCTTACCATAAGCCCTGATACAACCACGGATGAGCTGTCAGGAGCAAGGTTGATTTCTTTCATTGGTCCGGTCTTCTCCTTGGGGGTCACCCGTACTCGATATCCAGTGAGCTGAACATTGGGTGGTGTCCACTGGGCGCTCAGGCTCGTTGGTGTGACCTGAGTGAACTTCAGGTCAGTTGGTGCAGGAATAGCTGTCGGGATTGTCATTGGTTAGAGGTTATCTTATAGGAAATGGGGAAAAAGGAAAATAAAGTGGGTTCCAAGAAGTAGAATGGATTGTTCTTGTTGGGTTAGGTGGGTTCCCTGGTCAAGCAAAGATTCAGTACGAGAAAGTACAATAAGGGATGTAAAATGAAGACAGTGTTTGCTGAGAAATGTGTTTTATATCCACCAATTCTCAGAATCACTGAAAACATTTGGATAAATGCCAGAACTCTAAGAGATTTGAGGTTTTAGAAGTTTTTTTGCTTTCCCTTAAAAAAAAAAGTTATATTGCCTTATTGACCATTATGATTTATTTTCCCTTTGTATGGAAAAATAAGCAGTAGCCCTTTTTCTTTCTTAAAATTTTTAATTAATTTAGAAACAGGGTCTTGCTCTGTCATGCAGGCTGCAGTGCAGTGGAGCTGTCATGGCTCATCGCAGCCTTGAACTCATAGGCTCAAGCGATCCTGTACCTCACCCTCTTGACTAGCTGGGACTACAGGCATGTGTCACCACACCTGGCTAATTTTTTCATATTTTTTGTAGAGATGGGGTCTCACTTCATTGCCCAGGCTGATCACGAACTCCTGGCCTCAAGCAATGCTCCCACCTTGGCCTCCCAAAGCACTGGGATTACATGTGTGAGCCACTGCACCCGGCCTCCTTTTTCTACATAAAGTATCTTTGTATGGATAACCATTTCACACAGTATTCCATCCAAAAAAGAGAGAATAATATTTTTATTGTCTCTTTATTTGGACCCTATGACAGATATGGCTGCTAAATTTGATGTTCTCTCTGTAATGCGGCATAAGAAGAAAATTGGCTCCCAACAGAAGCAGAAAAGAGAAGCGAAAAGCAATAATACAGACTGTCACCTCTAGGGTTTATGCTGTCACTAGGATACATCTTTAGCATTCTACTCTGCTTCAGAAATAAAGCACAAGAGCTAAAGTATTATGGAAAGCAATTGCCCTATTGATTGTTTCCTATGTGTCTGAATCACAATCATTTAAGCTAATTATACACCAGCGCATGACATCTAACCAGAGAAGAAAGGTCTTACCCATGTGTGCTCAGAATCATGCTGCTATGAAATGCCCCAGTTTGGGTTCCTTTTTATAAGTAAGCTGTATGATGCCAAACTTCTTTCCTTTATACATAGTGAGGGTAATCACAGGGAGTCAGAGCTTAGGAAATAATCCACAATTTTAGTATCCTCTTCAAACGTCTCGTTTTATGGTCTTGTTTATAAGCCAAGATACTCCAAAATTTCTTTTTATCAGACTTGTTTACTTAAATATCACCTCAGTTTTATTGTTTCTTACCATTCCTCTTTAAAGAGGATCTTTCCTAATAATTTTTTTCACCCTTACACGGGAATCAATAGCCCAGTGAAGTATAATTCATTCAGCAGGGCATAAAGCCGCTGCTCCCATGGGCACCTGGTGGTGCAATTAACCATATACCTGTGGACTGGGTTCCAATCAGGGGCTGGCTCTCCATATCATCGTGCAAGGCAACCACACTGACTGTGTACTCAGAACCCGGTCTGAGGCCTTGCAGCTCTGCAGTGTCTTCTTCACCATCAGGTGCAGGGAATAGCTCATGGATTCCATCCTCAGGGCTCGAGTAGGTCACCCTGTACCTGGAAACTTGCCCCTGTGGGCTTTCCCAAGCAATTTTGATGGAATCGACATCCACATCAGTGAATGCCAGTCCTTTAGGGCGATCAATGTCTGTTAGGCAAATTAATGGTAAGAGGTTATGTGAAAAGCAAGTTGTGAAATAAGCATTTTTATAACATGCAAAGCAGTTTTGCAGATACCATTTTCTTTGACGAAGTCCAATTAACCCACTGTCAAATGGAAAATCACTTAAACACTTGCTTAATCTTTCTTGGTTTAGAAAATATGCAATGTTGCATCACTTATTAAAACATAGGTGTATGTGAGATAAGCAGATACCCTGCAAAAGGTCCCACAATGGCAATGTATTTATATTAATTTAAAGATATTCTACTACCATTTGATTTTACAATGTGATGTTAGTCTCATAGACCTGGATTTTCTATACCTTGGAAGTGGTAAAGCTGATTTGCAACGTCAGATTCAAATTGTTGTAATTGTTCTTTTTTTTTTTTTTTTGAGATGGAGTCTGCCTCTATCATCCAGGCTGGGGTGTAGTGGCATGATCTCAGCTCACTGCAACTTCTGCCTCCCAGGTCCAAGCAATTATCCTGCCTCAGCCTCCTAGTAGCTGGGATTACAAGCACGTGCCACCACGCCTGGCTAATTTTTGTATTTTTAGTAGAGACGGGGTTTCACCATGTTGGTCAGGCTGGTCTTGAACTCCTGACCTCGTGATCTTCCTGCCTCAGCCTCCCAAAATGCTGGGATTACAGGCATGAGCCACTGCGCCTGGCCCTATAATTGTTCTTACACTCTTCTTTTCTCGTCTCTATTAAGCATTTATAGTACACTCTGGTCCAGCCATAGTCCTTCAAATGCCCCAAACATAACAGCTACATGAGGCACACTTCAATCAGCTTTACCATCCAGTTGTAGAAAAGACGGTCTAGGAAAATTTTTTGTAGATTTGCTATAGGCAAATAAGATTTCGCTGAGGCCATTTGAGCAAAAGAAATTCAAAGCACAGCAACTAACTATGGTAGTTTCACAACTTCTTTCTCTATAAATTCCTTGCTTGGCACCGAGAAGGAAAAAAGATGTTCGTAAAGGGCTCAGCTCAAGACATAAACTAACCAACAAGTTGACTTTCCCTGTATGTAATTGCAAAAGACATATGGCGGGCATTCAGACACCCAAGAACAAAATTCGACTTTGAAAATGGAAACCAAGCAGTGGTTACGTACTGGTTACTGCAGTCTGAACCAGAGGCTGACTCTCTCCGCTTGGATTCTGAGCAAAGACACTAACCACATACTCCACTGTGGGCTGCAAGCCTTCAATAGTCATTTCTGTTTGATCTGCAAAGGGAGTGAAAAGCAAATACGATACCCACGTCATCCACTATAAAGTCCTCCAGGTGGCTTCTAGAGTTTGGTAGTGAACATATGGTGGCCTAGAATTTTTTTTTGCAGAATTGTAACAAAAATATGGAGGAGTCAGACTTTGATTTCCTCTTGGACAAACCTGTTCATTGCTAATACAAATTACCATATGGGAGTGAAGTCACACTCAAGGATAAGTTCTAAAACTTAATATGATGCCCCCAACAATTAGTGATACTGCTCTCAGAAAAAATGAAAATTAACTTGACTTTAATAAATTGCCTTAAGATCCTAATTTCACAAGTATTCTATTTAAAAACAAAGACAGCATAGCTAAAAGGATCTGAAAAAGTCAGTTAGGCCATTTCTCTTTTTAATGTGAATGATAAACAAAACCAGAAGGGTGAATCTAATAATTTAAGATGCCCATATCACTAAATAGAACTATCCATGTTAAAACAGAAATGCACTTAAGACTTCTACTGTGAAGAGGGTTGATAACGATCTTGAGCCCTGAATTCATGAATGGGAAAAGTGATGACATAGGACAAGAATTACATAGTACTCACAACAAGGTAGCCATTTACATAAAAAAGAATATTAGATGCTACCCCATCTATCCTGTTGTATATGAGATGCAGATTATTCTTTTTTTTCCTGAGATGGAGTCTCTCACTCTGTTTCCCAGGCTGGAGTGCAGTGGTGCTATCTCGGTTCACTGTAACCTCTGCCTCCAGGGTTCAAGCCATTCTGCCTCAGCCTCCTGAGTAGCTGGGATTGCAGGCAGGAGCCACCATGCCCAGCTAATTTTTTGTATTTTTAGTAGAGATGGGGTTTCGCTATGTTAGCCAGGCTGGTCTTGAACTCCTGACCTCAAGTGATCTGCCCGCATCAGCCTCCCAAAGTGCTGGGATTACAGGCATGAGCCACCACGCTCAGCCAAGATGCAGATGATTCTTACCTGGACCTGCAGTTTTAGTTTTTGTTGGTCCTCGTCCATTTTTGGGAGTGGTGGTTACTCTGTAACCAGTAACAGGGGAACTTGAAGGCAGCCACTTGACACTAATGCTGTTGTCCTGAACATCGGTCACTTGCATCTGTGATGGTTTGTCAATTTCTACATATAAAAGCAGGGAGAAACCGGTGAAGCCCCAGTCCTTGGAGAAAAGATTGGACAAGCCCTCCTCTCTAGGTCTGCTATATGTTCGAATGATCTCTTACATGAGAAAGGTATTTCTTCTTGAAATAACACAGAGAGAGCTTTTAGAGGGATGGGGCAGGCATCTCAATACCATTTCCTATTTTTGAGATGGCTGCTTATCCACAAAGAAGCTACATTCTACAAGCAGATACCTGTCATCCTACTTTATCAACTCATCCATTCTTTTCCAACAAATATTTATTGAACACTCTCCATGCCCGTCTTATTGCAGACATGTGGAATATATCAACAAAACTGACAAAACTTCCTGCCCTTGGGGTGCTTCCTTCTTTATCTGGCTCAAAACTCTGTTAGCTGCAGGTGTTAGCTGCAGTTTGTTGTCTCATTAAAAAGGAAAATCTATTCCACAATGAGAAAAATACCTTGGGAGAACATTGTAAAAAACTATCTGAATAAATAAGCTGGTGTCACCCCAGAGTAGAAGTTTGTACCTGTTCGGTAATTAATGGAAATTGGCTTGCTGCTTGCGGGGCTGTCTCCACGGCCAGTGACAGCATACACAGTGATGGTATAATCGACTCCAGGTTTAAGGCCACTGATGGTAGCTGTAGACTTGCTCCCAGGCACAGTGAACTCCTGGACAGGGCTATTTCCTCCTGTATGAAAAGGGGTTAGTTCAGAGTGTGAGGGGCTTAGAGCTACTTAGGTATTACTGATTAATTGAATTACCACATTTATAGCAGCATGTAAATCACATCTTCTTGCTTATTCCCTTTTAAAGAGCACTCTCTTGAACAGAAAGAGGTATTTATGCACGTAGCAAACCTTGGTAAGTGTATAAACATTGAGAGAAAATTACAGTTAGCGCTATTTTAACATTTCAGCTTTAAAATGCCACTGAGTAGTAGAGTAGCATTAAAAGTGGGAAGAAGGTAAGCCCTCAACCGAGGATTGCACGCATTGTGTCCTTTTTAAAAATTTTAACGGAATAAATTCCTGTTAAATAAAATTTGGAAAATATAGAAAAGTAAAGAGAAGAAAAAATAAAAATCACTTATTTCCACCACCGATAATATGTCTGTGAATTTACAATCCTTTTATTTCCTCCGCTCTGCTGTTCCCCCTCTAGTTGTATTATATAAACAACTTTTTATTTGGCTTTTAGAACAAATTATATCATCTATATCTTCCATATTTTCTTGGAAAAAACCAGGGCTCCATTGAATGGACTTGCCAACATTTCTTTAATTCTTTGTTCACTGTTGGGCTTTCAGGTTATCCACAACAGTCTGATTTAATCAGAGTGTAAAATAGCATTTTACTGCCGTACCTGTTTCTCCATAAGTGATCCTGTAATATCTCACAGTGACAGCAGGAGCATCCCAGCTGATCAGCAAGCTGGTGGGGGTCGCAGCAACAACTTCCAGGTCCCTCGGAACATCAGAAACTAGAAAAAAAAACAGGAAACTTTTCACATCCGTAATTTTCAAACAATACTCAGATTTATTCTTTGTTTATTTTCCAAATAATTGTCTTAATGATTCCTTCATACAGTAATGTAAATAATATGTGTAATTAGCAGAATTTAATATTATGACAAATTTAAGATAAGGGGTTACAGAGCCCATTCAAATTGTGATAAAATGATTATTTCAAATTTAGGGAAGAATTTTTTTCCCTCAACATTGTGTTTGGAAAAATTTCAAAACTATAGAAAAGTTAAAAAAAATGTAATACAAGGCTGGGTGTGGTGGCTCACACCTGTAATCCCAGCACTTTGGGAGGCCGAGGCGGGCAGATCATTTGAGGCCAGGAGTTCAAAACCAGTCTGGCCAACATGGTGGAATCCCACCTCTACTAAAAATAAAAAAATTAGCCGGACGTGGTGGTGGGCGCCTGTAATCCCAGCTACTTGGGAGACTGAGGCAGGAGAATTGCTTGAGCCCAGGAGGCAGAGGTTGCAGTGAGCCGAGATCCCGCCATTGCACTCCAGCTTGGGTGACAGAGCAAGACTCCATCTCAGGAAAAGAAGGAAAAAAAAAGTAATACAATGAACACCTATATACCCTTCCCTTAAGTATTTGTCTCTGGCTTGACAACTTGAGACTAAAATACAGGTATCATGATGCTACTATTCCCCTAAGTACTTCAGCCTCTATCTGCTAAGAACAATGACACTGTTACCCTAAAATTATATTTTTAAAGGTACTTTGAAAAAGTGTTCAGTTTTCTACATTTTTTTTTTTTGAGACAGATTCTTGCTCTGTTGCCAAGATGGAGAGCGGTGGAACAATCTTGGCTTACTGCAACCTCCGCCTCCTGGATTCAAGTGATTCTCCTGCCTCAGCCTCCGAAGCAGCTGGGACTACAGGCGCATGCGACCACGCCCAGTTAATTTTTGTATTTTTAGTAGAGACAGGGTTTCACCATGTTGGCCAGGATGGTCCCGATCTCATGACCTCGTGATCCACCTGCCTTGGCCTCCCACAGTGCTAGGATCAGAAGCGTGAGCCATTGCACCTGGCCCC